ACTCATGTTCTCAGTTTTGTTAAACTATATAATCTAATCTCTCCTTGATACATTTACATAAGTTAGTTATTTATTACACAAAGAGATGTAACATCGAAGAGATGTAACTCTGGATGCGAAGAGGTGTGTCTCTTAGCCTAATGATTCGATCTCTATATAAAGATCAATCATTCGATGTAACATCAACACAAGAATCTCAATAATAAAAAGCATTTCAGAGAAGTTACATCATTTTCGTAACCATCTGAAATAAGCCTGTAACATCCATTTTATTCTTTCTCTTAAATTCGTTGTAACAAAAGCGGTTGGTAAAAGATTAACANGTGTGTCTCTTAGCCTAATGATTCGATCTCTATATAAAGATCAATCATTCGATGTAACATCAACACAAGAATCTCAATAATAAAAAGCATTTCAGAGAAGTTACATCATTTTCGTAACCATCTGAAATAAGCCTGTAACATCCATTTTATTCTTTCTCTTAAATTCGTTGTAACAAAAGCGGTTGGTAAAAGATTAACATGGTATCAGAGCTCTTCGATTGAGAGGACGAAGCAGAAAGCACTAGTAAGAGAAACACTTGGCGTGGAGAAGAGGAGGCTAGAAGATTCTATCATACGTTACATCAGAAGCACACAAAATGATGAAGAATCAAGTAATCCCCATATTTGATGGAGAGAAGTACAACTTCTGGAGCATTAAGATCACAACCATTCTCAAGACCAGGAAGTTATGGTCTGTGGTTGAAGAAGGTGTAGGAGCCCCACCAGCACAAGTGGATTAAACCCCTGAAACAGCAAGGATAAGATCGCTTAGAGAAGAAGCGATGGTGAACGATACGATGGCTTTGCAAATTTTGCAAACTGCTGTATCAGATGATATCTTCTCACGGATTGCAACAGCAACAACATCTAAAGAGGCATGGGATGCATTGAAAGCAGAGTATGAAGGTTCTCCTCAAGTCCGTTTGATTCGACTTCAAACGTTGCGAAGGGAGTTTGAAAACTTGAAGATGTATGAGAGTGAAGACATCAAGGTTTTCACAGATAAGTTAGTTACCTTGGCAACAAAACTAACTTATCATGGAGAACAGAAGACAGACATCCAACTCATACAAAATATACTCATCTCTCTCCCAGCCAAGTTCGACAGCATTGTCAGTGTGTTGGAGCAAACAAGCGATTTGACAACAACAAAAATGGCAGATTTGATCGGGATTTTGAAGGCTCATGAGGCAAGGCTGGCTGCCAGAGAAGAACGCACCAGTGAAGGAGCATTCGATGCTCGTGTTAAACACGGAAATTCTGATGCTACATCAGACAACTCGAAGCGCCAAGGAGGCAAGAAGTGGTGTAGTTACTGCAAGAAGAACAACCATACTGAGAGCGAGTGTCTGAAGAAACCGAAGAAAGATGATCCAAAGAAGGATCACAGAAGTAACAAGGAATGTTACAATTGTGGCAAAAAGGGCCATTTTGCAAATCAGTGCTACTCAAAGAAGAAAGAGAAAGCACATGTGAGTTTCGAAGAAGACTCGAATGAAGATCACATGTTGTTCAGTGCGAGCGAAGCAGCAACAACAGTGATAACGGACGTCTGGTTAGTAGACAGTGGAGCAACTAACCATATGACAAAGGAGGAGAATTACTTCTCAAGGATTGATAAGAGTATCAAGGTTCCAATAAAGATTGGAAATGGAAGCACGGTCATGACAGCCGGTAAAGGAGACATTACCGTCATGACTAAAGGTGGCAAAAGGACCATCAGAAATGTGTTCTTGGTTCCGGGTTTGGCGAAAAATTTGTTGAGTGTTCCACAAATTGTTTCAAACGGATACCGGGTGAGTTTCCAAGAGAAGAGATGCATCATAGATGATGCAAAAGGAAGGAGGATAATGGATATCCCAATGACTCACATATGCTATCGAATCAGGATGAGTTCGGCTCAGGTAGAAGAAGCCATGAGCGCTAGTGATCAAGGAAAGATGGAGACATGGCACAAGAGACTTGGTCATGTAGGCGACAAAAGGTTGCAACAAATGCAAGACAAAGACTTGGTAAAGGGGTTACCAAATTTTAAAGTAAAGAAGGAAGCATGTGAAGCGTGTAGACTTGGAAAGCAATCACGCAAAAGCTTCCCAAAGGAATCTCAAACTAAGACAAGAGAAAAGCTTGAGATCGTACATACTGATGTATGTGGGCCGATGCAGCATCAGTCCGTCGATGGAAGTAGATACTTTTTGCTATTCTTGGATGATTATACTCACATGTGTTNATCTCAAACTAAGACAAGAGAAAAGCTTGAGATCGTACATACTGATGTATGTGGGCCGATGCAGCATCAGTCCGTCGATGGAAGTAGATACTTTTTGCTATTCTTGGATGATTATACTCACATGTGTTGGGTATACTTCATGAAGCAAAAGTCAGAAACATTCTCATTGTTCAAGAAGTTCAAAGCAATGGTGGAGAAGAAATCAGATTGTACCATCAAGACACTAAGATCTGATGGAGGCGGTGAGTTCACTTCACGAGAATTCAACCGGTTCTGTGAAGAGGAAGGAATCAACAAGCAAGTCACATTGTCTTATTCACCTCAACAAAATGGTGCAGCGGAGCGCATGAATAGGACCTTGGTGGAGATGGCTAGATCGATGTTGACAGAGCAGGACTTACCACTCAAGTTATGGGCAGAAGCGGTATACACTGCATCATACCTTCAAAACCGCCTACCATCAAAGGCAATAGAGGAAGATGTCACTCCTATAGAGAAGTGGTGTGGACACAAGCCAGATGTGTCACACATGAGACTGTTTGGTAGAATATGTTACATACATGTCCCAGATCAAAAGAGGAGAAAGCTAGACGTCAAGGCAAAGCGTGGAGTCTTTGTTGGCTATAGCAACCAATCCAAAGGCTATAGAGTTCTCATCTTGGAGAATGAGAAGATTGAAGTATCAAGAGATGTCGAGTTTGAAGAAAGCAAGAAGTGGGATTGAAAAAGGCAAGAAGAAATGAGGAAGACATTGGAGTTGTCTATAAAAGACTCTCACTCGCCTGAGAAACAAACCGAAGTTACATCCAGTTCTGAGAAACAAACCGAAGTTACATCCAGTCCTGAGGAACAGACCGAAGGTACATCCAGCCCTGAGGAACAATTCAGAGGTATTTTCAGTCCTGTTCTCTTTCAAAATGATGATCATGATGCTAGTAATGGAGATGAAGAAGCTTCTGAGGCACCAAGGAAGTTCAGGTCCATGGTTGATATCATGGAAAGGGCACCGAGAGTAGAGCTTGATGAAGCGGCTAAAGCTATAGAAGCTTGTCTTCATGCAATTGAAGAACCATACACTTATGATGAAGCGTGTGGTACCAAGGAATGGAGAGAAGCGATGAATGAGGAGATAGCCATGATTGAGAAGAACAAGACGTGGGAACTAGTGGACAAGCCAAAGAAGAAGAATGTGATAAGTGTGAAGTGGATCTACAAGATCAAGACCGATGTTAACGACAATCACATCAAGCACAAGGCGCGGCTAGTTGCAAGAGGATTCTCTCAACAGTATGCTGTTGACTACCTTGAGACGTTTGCTCCTGTCTCAAGACATGATACAATACGAGTCATACTTGCCTATGCGGCTCAGATGAAGTGGCGATTGTATCAGATGGATAAAAAGTCAGCATTTCTCAATGGCGACCTCAAGGAAGAAGTGTATGTCACACAACCACCTGAGTATGTGACACACGGGAAGGAACACAAGGTGTTAAGGCTACACAAAGCTTTATATGGTTTAAAGCAAGCCCCAAGGGCATGGTATGGAAGGATAGATGCATACTTCCTTCAATACGGTTTTGCGAGAAGTATGAACGATGCGGCCTTATACATCATGAAGCAAGGAGGAGATGTGTTGATCGTGAGTCTATATGTGGATGATATAATCATCACAGGAAGCAACATCCAAAGCATCAACACATTCAAGGAGAACATGAAGAAAGAATTTGAGATGGTGGATCTTGGATTGTTGAACTACTTTCTTGGAATGGAAGTAATTCAAGACGATGGAGGCATATTTCTTTCACAAGAAAAGTATGAAAACAAACTTGTAGACAAGTTTGGGATGCGAGACAGCAAGAGTGTAAGCAACCCACTTACACCACAAGGAAAAGGAGTTGAAGATGACAAGGAGTATGGAGATCCGGCTAAGTATAGAAGCATCGTTGGAGGGCTTTTGTACTTGTGCGCATCAAGACATGATGTGATGTATGCAAGCGCCTATCTCTCAAGATACATGTCATCACCGCGCATGAAGCACTACCAAGAAGCCAAAAGGGTGTTAAGATATGTCAAAGGAACATCAAACTATGGAGTGTACTTCACAAGCGTGAAAGAACCAAGACTTGTAGGCTACTCGGACAGCGATTGGGGTGGTTCTAAAGAAGACAAGAAAAGCACTTCAGGTTATGTGTTTACTCTTGGATCAGCCATGTTCTGTTGGCAGTCAAGCAAGCAACAAACAGTGGCTCAGTCAACAGCTGAAGCAAAGTACATAGCCGTGTGTGCAGCAGCAAATCAAGCAGTGTGGTTACAACGACTATTTGAAGACTTTGGTCAGAAGTTTGAAGGAGGCATTCCGATCTTATGTGACAACAAATCAGCAATAGCAATTGGGAAGAATCCGGTGCAACACAGAAGGACGAAGCACATCGAGATCAAGTACCATTTCGTGAGGGAAGCTGAGCANGTGTGTCTCTTAGCCTAATGATTCGATCTCTATATAAAGATCAATCATTCGATGTAACATCAACACAAGAATCTCAATAATAAAAAGCATTTCAGAGAAGTTACATCATTTTCGTAACCATCTGAAATAAGCCTGTAACATCCATTTTATTCTTTCTCTTAAATTCGTTGTAACAAAAGCGGTTGGTAAAAGATTAACAAGTTTGTGTTTCGTCCATTGACTTGATTATTTAAATTTGTTGGTTTACTCATGTTCTCAGCTTGTTGTCACACCGGTCATAGCTATCGAAAGACAAGCGGAGCCTGGTTGGGGAGAGTGGTCAAATACCACAAAGGACGATCGCGTTGCATACATGGAGGACCTTATAGCTCATAAGTACAAATTCACCAAGTCAATGTGGCCTGGTGGGGTAACAACGGAGCCTTTGTTTGAACAGCCTAAAGATCGTTGTGACCGTCACGGGAAGAAGAAGCTCACTCGGGTCAAACAATCTCTCAAACCAAAGCTGCAAATCAACAAGGAGTCGTCTTCTAGGAAGCAAAGGCGCATAAGTTCTTACTTCACACCATCAAATGTCAACAGTATGACCAACCAACAACTAACAGAGATTGTGTTGACACTTCAAAAGCAGATGAAACAGATGCACAAAACAATGAAGAAGATGAAAAGAAAAGCTCAGGGAAGGAGATAATCATTCCATAAAGTCCTATCTCATAGCAAGAAGCATCGGACATCTCAACAGGAAGGACAGCGAGCACCCTTCGATCAGGTATAATATACACACACACTTTTATTCATAAAAATTTACATTCTCTGTCATTAGTTTCTCTAGTTTCTTATTAACCCTTTCACTTCTGTTTATAGGATATTCCGGCCACACATCAGAGCGGTGATGACTCTGCACACGCAAGACCTCTCGACATCGATCCTCCCAGCGATAAGGTGATGTTCAACCAGCCTCCAACCGAATCCAATTTGTGTTTCAATTGAGTAAAAGGAAAAAAATTATAATAAAATAAATAATCTGTTTCTTGGTCACCTATAGGATGTGGATAGTATGGAGATAGATGATCATGAGGAGCACCAGTCACCTATCATAAGCCAGTACGCAGCTCATCTCCACCGGCAGGCTTCCACACACCAAGTAACGTTCAATAATTCCTGCTTACGCATATCTAAATTAATGGACCGCCTTTATTTAACTAATTCTGTATTTTTATCATGTTAGGATGTGGATGCTATGGAAAACAACACAGACATCGTCCACAGCTCACCTGACCACAGTTTAGCAGATGACCCTGATCCTACACCACTTGTTTCAGGAAACATTGATGATCTCAATCCCAAAGTCAAGGTAAAGTTCAATAGGTTCAATCATTTCTTGTTCCACATATATGTTAAATTCTTCCTAATGGGACCACCGTAATTAATACCTCTTTCTCTTCTCATGGTAGGATGTTGATTCTTTGGAAAACCCCAAAGACACCAGCCACCGCTCTCCTGAGAATGACCACAATCAAGATGAAGACCAGGTGATGTTAAATCTTTCCCAAAAAAAAAAAATTGCTCCCCCTCTAAGATAGAACATCTTTCCCTCTTTCTTTCAACTCATCATTGAGTTTCGCTCTTAACCTTGACTAACTCTTATCATGGTCTGATTTTTATGCTATTATTTTAGGTGGTAGATACTATGGAACAACACACAGAGCATACACAAAATTCCAGTTTGTGTAAGATGTGGATAATGGTCACTACTGAGGAGAATGTTACAGACCAGGTGATTTTTACTCATACCCTCTTCCACATAATTCAACTTTCATCCACCACCGATTCTAATTAGTTAAAAAACATCATTTGCTCTTTTTGGTCTGAATGGTAGGATGTCGATGAAATGGAAAACGATAACCAAGATGTCCACCCCTCACCTGTCCACGAGACAAACAATCTGAATGCTTCCACAAATGGAAATGACGACGATATCCACACAACTCCTGTCCGAGCAGATCAGAAGACCACAGAAACTCGTACTTTCGGAAAGCTATACCCGGGACAATGGGACCCACCTTCTAAAATCTACGATAAAGCTGATCACCCTGACAGCCCCGAGATTAATCACATCCTCTATCATGGTCTCAGGATTTACGACAAAACGGCTATTAGCCCAGACCCACCACTATCGACAAGTCCCATATTCGACCAAACGGCGGGTCCATCCTCTCCTCCATGAATTCGTTTACGTTTGTCTCCACTACCTTTCACTCCACTCACATCACCGGTCAAGAGTAATGAAAGTGGTCTTGGTTTCGCAAGCCACACAACAACACCCAATGCCTTTAAAGCCACATCTTCGTCTAACTCGCCACCGGTCATTGGACCCACATCTGAGGATCAGGTATTTCTTCTATATATGACCGAGTTATAATTACATCACCTTCACAAATCAAATAACTTTTCATTTACTTAACTAAAACAGAATCAGGCTGCTGAGGATCCCTTCGTCGATCTCACAACCACAAAAGACCCTGCCAGACACGTTCCATCTCCCCTAGAAAACCTTCTCGCTAAGGAATTATTCAACTCCCCGCTGATTCCTGCTTTGGATCTCATCACCCCACTACCAGACAGGGAATGGGAGCTTTTCCATAGTGTCCTCAAAACCAACATTGATGTGTAAGATTTACTAACAACATCTCAGTACTGTATTCAGATTGTTTTTTTAATCCCATCCCTTTTTAAATTTTTAATTGTCTCACAGGTTCCATAGCACTCCATATGAGTTTCAGTTTTCAAACAAATTGCTCCTAGAGATTGCACAGCCTAAGCAATGGACAACCTCATATGTAAGACACCCCCTCTCTGTTTGTTCTATCATTGTCTGATGCTGTGTTGTCTTTAACTCTAAGCATTTCTTAAATGTCCAGCAAATGGAAATTCTTGTCCACATGCTCTCTGCAAGACACTCTGAGATTCTAAAGAATGAAAAAGCATCCTTCGCCCCTCCCACCCTTGCTTCAGCTATAAACGAAGCTTTCATCACTTTCAACAAGTGTGGTAAGAAGAAGAAGGACACTTTCGTCTGGGACAAGCGTTTGGTGGACACTGTGCTCTGCCCTGGAAACAAATGGATGGAGGACATCCACACCATCTACACGCCCATGCTCTGGAACAAATCTCACTGGGTTGGGTTAGCAATCAACCTCGACATGGGTTTGGTAGAAGTACTTGATCCTCTCCCAGCTTTGAATGGAGTTAGACGCATGGGTAACTTGATGACACCAGTGCTTGCTTGCCTCCCTTACCTTGTGAAGAAAGTTGCCATGTGTGAGCTAACCCAATTCACTGGTGTGAAGCCGTATTCCAGACATCTATATCAACGGTCGTTATGGTGATTGCGGTCCTGTTACCATGAAGTTCCTAGAGTTGCACGCACATGGTGATCCATCCCCTGGAATGGCCGGCATCACAGACAAGATTGTCAAAGACATACGCAAGCAGTACACAATGGACATCTACAAGACGTTGGTGCTTCCTGCGTACTATGCTGCCCACTGCACTGATGATTAGAAGCTACAATCAATATCTCCTCCCACCCTTTTGGTTTAATATATTGGGATTGTCGTAGTGCTTAGGTCTTTTGTCAACGATGTTACATAATCCACGCTATCAATGATGTAACTTAAGACTTATTAATCTATTAAGACTACTTATGTTTTACGATACTCTGTTCTTTCTCTCTTTTGTGTCCAATACTCATTTTTGTCCACAAACACATCCAATGCATTGTGGATGTCATTCCGTCCACATCCACACAATTTTGGATACACCACATTTAACCTACAAGTCGGACTTCAATAGAACTTTCATTTCCATTAAGTATCTACACCAAAAAATTGCCGACCCACAATCCCTAGCCCGCTCCCAATTCCCTCCTATTTTTTCATTTACATCACTGATTATCACCACCCAAATCCCTCCTATGAAAGAGTTCGGCAAGGACCAGCTCGAACTCTTTCATCTTCTTCTCAGACATGTTGAGAGAAAAAACATGTAGTTGGAATTCTTATATATCATTTTACATGGTTTTCAAGTTTCAAATAAAAGGTTGCATGTTCAGAATATATGAACTGAAAACAACTAAACTTATATTTTTTTCATTAAAAACTAACGTTATATTCTTTAGACAAAATATTCATATTTAAAGGGTTCATCTACAAAGTGGTCGTGTAAGAGACTCCATTTAGTTATTTCATCTGCAAAGTGGTCGGGTAGAAGACTCGATTTTTTTTTCAAATTTGCCTTTTCCTTAAAAACTGATTTTCTGTTGGTGAAGTCTAAGCTTTTTTTTTTAACTTTCTTTAATTTTCTGTACGAAATAAAACACATTGTCATGGTTGGAAACTGATATAAAATTTATCATTAGATTAACTGTTAACAAATGAAAAGTATCAAGTAAAGGCAAAATAATTCAATGCAAACTAAAACAAACAAGAGAAAGACCTTATTTTGTTCTGTGGTGCTGTTATTTCCATGTGGCTAGTGGCTAATAAGAGCATCTTCAATGTATTACTCCATATTTTACTTTAAAATGGTGCAACTCCAAAATGGAGTAAGGTTTTACTCCAATGTATTACTCCATTTTTTACTCCAAAATAATTAATAATTGTTAATAATATCTTATATTTATAAAAGTTTACCAATTAACTCCAACTATTTTATGTTTATAAAAATACCTTAAAATATAATTTATTTAAATTAAACATTATTATTAAACAGTACAAGAAATCAGAAAAATAAAATAGAACACAATATAAGCTGATTCAATAATGAGCATTAGAATATTTTTTCCAACAATGATCAACTAATGCATTTCGTAATGAAAAATGAGCTTTGGACAATATTTCCCCGGTCTTAACGGATCCGGAAGCGATTTATTTAAATCTCTTATTTTATGATATTTTTATATAATATTATTTATGTTTTTAACTATGCTATGTATTTTTGTGTTAAATTATTAAATAATGAAATATCCTGTATTTCATGTTATTGTATTTTAAAAAATATTATTTAAGTAAGAAATAAAAATATTAGAGAGTTAAAAGGACTATTTCATAAATAAAAAAAGTTCAACTCCAAAATGGAGTAATGTGTAAGATTACTCCATAAATGGAGTAACCTTAGCCATTACTCCATAAATGGAGTAACCCTAGCCATTACTCCATTTTGGAGTTGAAAATGGAGTGGGGTTGGAGAGGATTTTACTCCAAAATGATGTTTGGAGTAGAAAATAGAGTAGGGTTGGAGATGCCCTATGACGTTAATTATAACTTCAAGAAAATAAAGTTCCAGCTATAAAAAAATTAGTTTCAACAATCTTATTGAAATGTTTATGATCTTTCATAGTGCTTGAGTATTAAAAATTTAAAAACAATAAAACTATTCCAAATATACCTTTAAATAAACCTCGGTAAGCCCAAACCAATAATCCTCCATTTCAATTTAGTTGTTCTTATATAATAAAATTTTTGTTTCAAAATAAATGTCATTTTATAATTTCAATACAAAATTTCTTAATTTTATATATTATTCTATTTTTCTATTGGTTAAAATGTGATTAAATGTATAGATAATTATGTTTTTTTTCAAGAAAATATGTAAATTAAATGTTTTCTTAATCTATGTACAAAAATCCAAAACAATAACTAAATTGAAACGGAGGAATAGTATCTATCTATATCTACTCTATTAAAATAGAATTCTACTTTTTATCTACTATAAACAAGTCTTAGTAAGACCATTTTATTAATTAATTACTATGACATTTTTTATTATTAAATTAATTAATCAAATATATAACCAAATATGTTGAAGAGAAATATATTTAAATTTTATTTTGAGTTATAACAAATTATGTTGGGAAAAATCTAACAAAATCTTACTAAAAAATTATTTATTTTTTAAGATAATGTAATAAATAATTCTTAATTAATAATATAATACTAATATACATTAATATAAACTAAATTTTTATTATAAACGTTTATATGCATTTTATAGATTTCATAATTGTAGTCTATATATTAAAAGAGAATTACTATATGAATAAAATAAAATATTATATAAAATCTGCAAATTAACATATTTTAACTACAAAAACTTTTTTAATTATATCAAAATTAAGAAAAATATGAAAAACTATTACCAAAAATTTCAAAAAAAAATTCTAAATGATGCATTAATTTAGTAAGAAAAAATATTTAATGGCATATAATCTTTCAAAATCAAAAATATTTATGTAATTTAGAAAACATTTCTTGATCAAATATACAATTTTGAAAATAAATATTCTAAACTCAAATTTAAAATATTATAAATATATAAAATAAAATCTTAGATGCTAGTGTAATTTTTTAAAATGGAACACGAAAAAATAAATACTATTGTAAAAATAAAAATTAGAATAATATTTGAAATGTTAATTTAATAAAAAAAATCAGAGTGAGTTAAAAAAAATCAGAGAACTTTGTACCATAATATCCAAAAAATCTTATAGTGATCAAATTATTAAAATAATATCATACAACTTTTAACAAAATTATATGGCTATTAGTTAAATATGTTAATATATTCATTTGATTTAGAAAACTTTAGTTTAGATGATTTTTGGTTTCGTTTAATGATTTTATTTTTGTTTGTTGGTATAACGTGGTAGAAAGAAAAGTTGGATGAAATTCAGCAGATGAGGAGTACTTTGATAATTTAGTTGGAAGCTGTAAATCCAATCACCAATAGATTTTGGTTTTGTTTATTGATTTTGTTTCATTTACAAATAGATTTGATCTTTGTTCTAATCTGTTTCATTTCCTCCTCCACGCTCATCCAAGGGTCAAACAACATTCACCGTTTTAACTCCTTCCAACATATCTAAGGCTTGGTGTCTGACTTAAGTGGTCTTGATCCTTATTTAATTCTTGTGGGTTTTGAACTACTTTAGGGACGAGGTTTTCAAGACATCACATGATATTATCTCCCACGCTTCATCCATGACATTGTCGGGAATAGCTACACTTCCCACCTCAAGCTTTCAGAGTTTAATTTGTCCTCTCAACATATGTTGTTCACCGTCGCATGAATCTTTGATCTCAATCATCGACTACCATTACCTACCTTTGCAGCCCATGTAAGTCCTCCCAGATTATGTCATCATCCGTCTCCTTATCCATGTAGCTGCTAACAAGTTCTTTTGTTTGTGGATAAGGTGGCGACAACAACCTGACAGTGTTTGTGCTTCTTTCAATAGACATGTTGGTCACCTCTTCTCCACTGAGTAGCATCCCCCTGCAGCTATGGGACATACATACCTGCAGATGCGGTGCAACCAATAGCAAGCACTGCCCAACTGAATTCCAACATGAACACAGTGGATGATCCACAAGGGTCAGTACCATGGAACCCACCCAGGAAGGTCCGGAGGATTTAGTTTCTTGCATGGATAACTATAAAGAAATATACCGTCGTTTGCAGCTATGCTTCATTTTAGTTCTTTCATTTCATATTTTGCAAATAAGGGTTTAGACATCGGTCCACCATAGAGTCTCCCTTCTGGTTAATTATGTTACTTATCGAGACTTTTAAAATATCAACTATTGTTAATTTCCCAAAACTCTTGGCAAGATTAAATTTGAAGTTGTCATAACAAAAATATAACAAGCCAGCTACCTCAGTGACGCTTTTTAAATATCAACTATTGTTTTAGATATCATATATCAACTATTGTTAATATCCCAAAACTCTTGGCAAGATTAAATATAAAATTGTCAAAACATAAAATATAACAAACCACCTACCTCTTATGTTCTACGTGATTGGAAAAGTAAAGAAT